TATATATATATATATATATACACATTATTATACATATATATTCCATGTAACAGTACTTGCATTTATCGGAAGTCGGTCCACGTGGACGCGATCGATCAGTTGAGTATCGCGGCGAAAGTCATTGGACGACACACTTTCCAAAATTACCGCTACGGTAATTTACACGCCTGGTAAAGTGCCCAATGTGGGATGCATTGATTTTGCATAATGTTTCCGAAAACGTTTTACATATACATTTTACCGCGTTGTGTACATTATTTTAATCTTTTCACTACGGCTGCCGAACTGAACGCGCCGCAGAGCTCCGACGCTCCGTGCGCGCGCAGCTTTGCCGCCGGACGCGCGTGATGGATAACAGCAGCAGCGCGATTGGCGTCTGTGTTAATTTATATATATACACCGTGTGTTATTTATTGTATTTACGTTAATATAAAGTAATAGCTGTAATGATAAATCAATGAAATTTCTACGTACATCAAGTACGAAGCAAACTGCTGCTCAGCAACCGTAAGCTGTCCTCCATTGACTCTCAGTGCAAATTGTGGAAGAGAGCCACTATAGTGGCGTTTCGTTCTAAGAAAAAAAAAATCCTTAGCGAGAAGTACGCCGCTATAGCGACGCGTAGTTGCGAAAAGGTTAAAAATCATATATATATATATACACATATATAATATACATAATTGTTTCATATATTGTATTTTTTTTAGCGCAATCTGTTAAGTTCCTTTTTATTGTAACATACATCTTCTGTCACGGGTTATTTTATTACGTGAACATGACACATCTTAATTTATACACGGCAGTCTAGACGCGCACGTTGCACCCCGAGAGTTGCAAATCGCCCCTCGAACGATGTCGTTGATCGATTTGAGAAGCAAGTTGCAAGCTCAATGGTGCGATGTTCAATAAGGATCGCAATATTAGGTTTATAGATTTAGATAGTAGAAGCTATATAAAACGAGCTTGCTTCATTGTATCAATTGCATACCTATATATTTATCCGATGTTTTGATGAGCGTTTGGGTTGCCGTTATTATATCACCCTCCGTGTGCGTGCACGGAGATTGGTAGGCCAATTTACATGTGTACATTTCGTATCTTGTAACGTGATTTGCTCATTATATTTAAAGATACCGATTATTATTTCCCCGCTTCGTTCAAATTCAGCCACATGTCGAAAGCCACTTATATACTTACGCCTTGCGCGAAATCAAATGAAGATTATTATATATTTTTCTCTTGATTCACACGGGATAGATTGTGTGGTGTAGGAATACGAGAAAATAAAAAAGAAGACCGAATGATGAAAAAAAAAACGAGGAATACACACTAAGCAATTAACGACTAAGGTTACTCGTACATTCGCCCAAATTGTGAAGAGATAACAACTCCAGCCCAATTAGAACAATACTTATATATTATCAATATAATGAGTATATATATATATATATATATNTATTTATTGAATATAATAATTGCTACGCGCGCGCGGCGCGACGTTTCTTTATCACGGCCGACAATCCTCTCGGTTTTCTGTACGTGAACGAAAAATTATCCCCCGCGAGGAGGAAACGTTGCGCCCGTCGCGGCATCTGTCCATTTTTGGTAATTGAGATTGTTGAGGAAGAAGAATTACGCAAATTAAAGACTCACACATGTGTCACGGTGATGCTACATGCCTGCCCGGCATAACACAAAGAAAAAAAAAACAGATAATAAATCTCTTTATTTCGAACATTTCCACGGTTTCCCTGTCGGTTCTCGCGTCGTGTACAGTACAATCGACACTTGCATTCCTTTCTCGACGTTCTGACGACGACGCGCCGGACATTCGCGTGTGACCCGTGCGAGTCCGTTCGCTTTTCCCGCCTCGCGTCGTCACGACACGTCGCGACGTGCGAAAAAGGGAAATCCGACGAGTCACACGTGACTTCTACCGTGCGCACCTTGATCTCTTATCCAATCGAATACCGGATTACGTTCCCCCCCCCCCCCCCCCCCC